TAAATAACTATAATCATTAATAACCATATTTCTTCTAATAATATTTTCATTTTTAAACTCATTCAAAGTTAATTTATATTATTTAAATTGGGTTAATTAACAACTATCTTATGTCTACTTATGGGTAAAATGTTATGTGTATATATATAATTTTTATTTTTATTATTGATTAGAATATTTAAACACAAATCTCCTTTAATTATTAAAATAAAATTGTTATCGAAATTATTATAAAATACAAGATATAATGTATCTATATCAATATAATCAAATTTAGTATCCCTTTTTTTATGTCAACTAAATAAAGCTTAAGTACCCATTTTTTATATTCTACATTTATTTAATTTCAATCTAGGTAATATTAAGTATAATAAAAAATAAATAATTTAAATCAAAATGTATTACCGAAGTATTTTATCAAATATATACTTTATATAATTATGGCCATAATTAAACTTTTAAAAAAAACTATTTAAATAACAAAACAATAATGCAATTATAATTTTTTAATCTTATAAAAATTAGAATAAGTTTTAAATGCTCATAAATCATAATATAATAATGCCTCACTATACAAAATCCATAGCTTTCATAATAATAAAATCAATTTTACTATCTTTTTTTTCTTTTTTTATACTTAACTTTACAACACTATACATTTATAATCTACACTAAATTAATGATTAAACATATAATTTTTTTAATATCTTTTGGACTTAATTATTTGATAAAAAATAATATTATTAAATGTGTTACATTAAATAAAATAATACTCAGTATAGTGATTTCTTAACATCATATTATCATAGTTCTGTTGTTGTTATTAATCCAGTGTATGGGACGTTCACATTCAAATGAACACGTTAATTGTAAAACAAATACATTCGTTTAATTTTTTTTAATTTTTTTTTTTTTTTTAATTATTTACCAGCAGTAAATATAAAAACTTATAAATATATACGACTCAACCTGAAAATAAAATTCAATTTAGACTTTAGACTCTAAAGTTCAAAGCATAAATATATATGTTATCTGAATTATATTTTTATTATATCATTTAATCATATATTATTTAACTTGGAATTTAATGGATTTTCTAATGATAAAATTAAGCAGATCCTATTAGACATGCAGCAGTACATGATAAATAAATAATTCATATTTTAATTTTATACAATTTTAAAACTTTATTGAATAAAAATAAAAACAACTTGCATTCTTTTGTTATTATTACATCAAATAAAATACAACCTTAGATGTATATATATATATATATATATATATATATACCTAACCTATCCGCTGAATATGAACAAATGTTCATAAACGACGTTCTTTACAAACACTTAATAATAATTTATAACGTTAATTGGAATATTGAGCAAAGTGTAATATTGTTGTATACTTTTCCCGTAATTTGTTATCATTGTTGATCTAATTCTGTGCATTAAAAATATTTCGCTTAACTTTTAACAACTAATACATGCTTGCTGATATTCTTCAATCGTATGTATATTTCAGGTTTTATATTAATATGATCAATCTAGTAATGACATGAAGATTTTCAATGTATATATTACAACTAGCAAACATCTGTGTAGAAAAATTTTATTATTCTGATTTTATTCATATCGTTCTAAGTGTTAATTTTTATTTTAGTCGATGTAGACACTAGACGTAGTGACACAGCCTTGGTCATGTATGTGGTTACACATGCTTGTCATTAAAACCAATATCAGAAATATTTTCTATGTATAAAACCCCCTTCTCCCCAAATATAATGAGTATAACTTTTTTTTTTTTTTTTTGCATATTTAGTCACATAAATTATACATTTAAAGATAACAAATACCACATAAATATTTAAGTATAATAAAGAACATATAAATTTATTTTTCGTGCATGCAATCAATTATATTGTCTATATTTTGGCCTAAACATAAAGCGAAAATTATAGCTTAAGTTTTCTATGACTTAAAGTTTTACAATTTTTACATCATGTAACACTAAACTTATGTTTCATATTCAAAAAAATACAATAATGGGAAGTCATAATATAATATTATTATCGTAACAAATTATGTTTTTCTTGTGTCAGTAATTAAAAACTAAAAATCAAATATTTACTGTAGCCCACGCGGGACATTTGTTGTACAATAATTTTTTAATTCATTTTCTGTGTCAAAAATATTATTATATTATTTGTCAATATTTACACTTTAAATTTGTATCAAAACGTTACTACAATGACCTTCTAAATAAATGTAAACTTTTTTACGAATATTTAGGTCCAGAGAAACTAAATAGTAACTAAAAAATAGCTGTTTTTTTTTTATAAAACGCCTGTTTAAAATGATAAATTATTATATGTTTATTGTATATATTGTACCATGTTATACTACGTACTTTAAGTACTAATTATAGATGATAATAGCATAATAGTTTTCAATAATACAGTTATAGCATAAAATTGGCCATATCATTAAAACATCTGTTATCCATCAGCACATACGTATTCAAAATAAAATACAGTAGGTCCGATATCTTTTGAGATTTTAAGAGAACTTTTATACTAAGAAATTTAATATTATCATTGAGTTTATCATGCTTTTCAATAATTATGCAATCGTAATTTTGGTTAAATTAAAATATTTAAATATATCGTTATTTTAAAAAACGTTTATACCATATATTTTAAAATTCTTGAAATTTTTTGTGCTCTTAACATTTATTTTTAGAGTGATAACCTCTCTTTTTATTAAAATTTATTTGAGGGTAATGTTTATAAAAAATTGAATGTACCTGATTTAAAATTTAAACGAATAGTTTTTAAGTTATTAAAACATTTATTTGAACGATAATAGTCCTTAAAAATGATTTTACTAAAATATAAGTTAGACGTAACATCAAATCTACTATTTACTATACTATGACCATTTTTTATAAATTATAAAAATTAATAGATTCATATTAACGATTAACATTTTCAAATTATTATAACCTCCATATTTTTTAAGCCTTTTAATATGGACCTATCATTATTTTTATACTAAGTTAAAAACAACTAGATCGAATTTTTATTTCGATACTCTAAAATTTTCAAAAAATTATCCGCTATAACTAACAATTGAAAAGGGTGTTTGTTATTTAAGAAATAGAAGTTTATATCTCTACAGTATAATCCTTAAATAGAACCAAAATTTCAAGAATTTTAAAACGCCTTTAAATGTATTTAAAAATTCTAAAAATCAGATTTGAATAACTTCATTAATAAAAATGAAAAAGATATAATAGTACTTAGCGAATAATCCTATATATTATTCACAAAACATTCTGATCCATAGATATAACAGATAAATGTTTATTATTTATTTTATATAAAACATGATAAATAAACCGTTTGGCTTATTCAAGACGTGTAAACATGATTCGTTAATACCTACGTCAGTCAGAAATTACAAATCAGTATGCTTAGCATTCATTAACGTCTTCTTAACAGAATGTTTCTATATCACGTAACCTCAAAAACAATCTCAGCAATAATTGCTTTATAACACGCGCCCTTGAACTTCCTATCAAAAGTCAAACACGTATGTATTTCCTATTTAATATGATAATAGTGGACGAAACATTTTGGTAAAATCTATAAATATTTAATTAGTTATTTGTTTATCCATGATTGAAAAATAATTCGTAACAATGCATAAGTACTGGTATTTAATTTTTTAATAACATTTACTATTTTTTCGAAGTGAGAACCCCCCTTATGTGCTACAAATTATTTAGTAGATATATAATTATTTTAATAATGTCGGAAAAATTTAAACAAATTATTTTAGTTATTAAAATTTTAAATCTTTATACTAAGAATAATAGTTCTAAAAAATAATTTTACAAAAATATAAAATCAATATAGTTTTAATTTTAGTATTTATAATACTAGATTATTTTCAAAAATTATTTATGTTGATAGATATTTAATAATTACTAAAATATTTAAATCTACATAACCTCCGCGATGTATTCATATTTTTATAGCTCTTTATAATGGAACATATTACCCTTCATATATAAAGTTAAATTACTTAAGAACTACCCATTAAAATTTTGATTTAGATACATCAACAATTTAAAAAAAATTGATTGTCCGCTAAATAATTTTTAGTAAAAAAAAGGAGGAATTATTATTTTAAAAACATTTAATCTCGATAATTTTAAAATATGGTCTTAGATGTATTTAAAAATTCTAAAATCTTTTTTATGGACTTTATTATTAAAAAAAAATATAGTGAACATGCTCGGTTAATCACCGTGCATACTGTAAATGAAGCATTATTGCACACCGTTGTCTGACACCATTGCGTTTTTGAATCGCGAGGATTTCGTTATATGCGTTGTCGTGTAGCATTTACACAATATTACTGTATATTTTCCAACGAAATTCTTTAAAATAATAACAATAACAAGTGTGTGTTGTCCAATAACACAGCAATTTGTAAAGTTGCAAATATGCAATTTATGGTAAAAATGAAAATCAATTAATAAATAAATACAAACACGTATTCGAAAACCGGTGAATTGGTATACTTCCTTATACGTCTTAAACAATTTCATTATTTATTGACCCTGATAATTATGTATAATAAGAATAATAATCATATTAACAATGATGTATTATATGATATTTCTGGCATAATCTGATTAAATGTATTTCGATATTGAAATATCCATACTACTTCGATAAAAGTCAATAACGATATGTTATATTATAAAGCCAATAACAATATCATCCTACTATCGACTATAATATTATTAAGTTATCCCCTACCTTCAACTCGCAGCTCGTCATCCAGGCTGTGAGGCAAATTATCTACACAGTATATATAGTACTGGTTCAAAATGCATAAAGTCGTAACGCTCGAGCGTGCTTTACTTTTTATCTTTTAAACGATATTTCGTTCGCTATAATATAATATAATAAATTAGCTATATTATATAATAATAATAATAATAATAATAATATATATTGTATATGTTTGTGCGTTCACTAATTATTATTATTATTACCAACGACACCTTGTGAGGTACATCTTCATACCAAGTAATCGGCGTTTGTGAAACCGTTTTTGTTGATAGAAAAGAAAAATTCGAAACAGTTGTCGATTACACAATGTAGAATAAAAAACGATCTCACACCGATCAAGTTTATTTTGTGTTTCACCTCCTTTCCCCCGGCTGTTAAAATGATCATCTACAATTTGATCGGAGCTTTGACGTCAGATTCTAACACGCTGTGGATGGCGCTATTCTTGCTCACGGTCCTCGGTCTGTACTTTTTATACTCCAACTTTTCCAAAAATCGTGGAAAACAGATTTCACTATTACCATCGGTCACAAGAAGCGAATGGGCCTCATTAAATGTGTCGCTAAAACTTGCCAGTTTCGGACCACGAGGTATGTACAGAATATTATTGTATTTTATAATAATTATATATCGTGCATAGTTATGTAATATTATAACTCTTTATTAATTTTTGTCTTACAAAATAAAATATTAAGTATAGTATAACACCATAACGTATACTATGTAAGTATTGTAAGTATTGTTACTCGTGAAATATATCTATACATAACAATTCCCCCGCATCATATTTATCCACCCCAGTTTTTCCTTCAACAGTAAATCAATTCAAATTCTAAATTTAAGAACTCTTTACTAGATTTACTTAAAAGTTTACTAACAATAATTAATAGAATTATAGAAATATTTTTATAAACGAAGAACCACTCTTTTTATCATTAAATATTAAGGAGAAAATTTTGTTAAAAATATTTTTGAAACTGTAAGTTATCTAGTTTAATGAATTTAAATTAATATGTCCATCATCTGTGATAATCTATTTAAAATAAATGAGGGATTTAATATGATTTTAAAATTACAGTTATTACTAATATTAATATTAATCTAATATATTTTTTTTAATCTTCCGAATATAACAAATATTAGTTTCACTATTATATTTATTTTATATTTCTGTAAAACTATTATTTAGGACTATGGCTATAGACTGGATATTGTTATAAATGAGAAACTACTCTTTCAAATATTTACTCAGTTGCATTAACGTATTTAAAAAAATATCATTAACTAAACCGTTAATAGCAAAAAGTATAGTTTATATTTGATAAAAGAAAAATCATGTCACGACAAATAGTTTTTTTAATAGTAAATACATAGAAAATCTAAGTTATTGAAAATAATATGGTCTTTAAATAAAAAATTTTGAGCATGTTTAGTGAATAATCTTGCATATTATTGCATATATTCAATATTCATAGATGGTTTTTATCCCTAAAAACTCGCAATTTCCATGTGTTTGTGTAACATAACCGTCAATTACGACTACGTGAACAACGGACTAGAACCTATTTTATTCTTGTTTAAAAAAAAAAAAGAAATGTAAAACCAAATCTAAAAAAAATCATTAATGTATCTTTACACGTTATATTTTAATAACTAGCATAACATCAAATGCATTCATTTATAATGTTATACTTATTTATAAACACGGAACAGTAAAGCAGCTAAAAAACATGATGATATTAGATATAAAATATACTCTAATATTATTTTGAAACAGGCAAGGCGTTAAGCTTAGATAAAAACGCCACATAATTGTATTTCGAATGTTTGAGCACCGTGATAAATTTTACAGATATTTTGCCGTATTTCGATAACGTTATCAAAAAGTACGGGTCGCTGGTCCATTTAAAAATCATAGCACGTCACTATGTCATCATCAATGATCCGGATGATATAAAGGTATGTAAACGTAGTAATATTTTAATATTAGAACAGAGCTCTCTAATACCACGGGGTTACAACTTACAACTTTAAATTGCAGCATTGCCTATTTGCGCCAAAAAAAAAAAAAATTAATTCACTTTGTGTATGGCCCATCTGTGCCAAAATAAAGAAGGTACAGGGTTTTACATGATAATAATAATCAATTAAATATATATATTTTTTTTTTAATTATAATAGTTATATACCTACAAATTTAACTAAAACCACCAATAAATATGAATATTTTCACACTCCCTTCAATGCTGAATTCATCATCTAAAAAATTCACAAGTTAAAATCAGATGATAAAAATTTAAAAGCAATAGATAATTTAAAAAAAAAAATTAACGCATTGTGAATGGCTGTGAACACTTTGTATATGGTTACACAGAAAAAACGAAAACCACGGACATTTTGTAGTGTTTATACTATTATTGCAATAGTCAATATGACAAACAATTATAATACTATTTCAGATGGTAATAAAATGTATATGATAAACAGTCTATAATATTTCAAGTAGAAACAAATATATTCAATTTACATAATTTATTATTACACATTCAATAGTTAGGTACAATTAATCCTTTAGTTTTATTTTAAATGTTTAACAGAAATAAATAAATAATCATTAATGCCATAATATATATCATACTATAAACACCATAAATTATTGGTTTTTAGAAATTATGAACTTCTGTAAACAATTGTGAGTTATAATATAAACTTAAAAAAATCAATTAATTTTATTATAGTTTTATTTCCGTACTATGTACAAGCTTCATGAAATTTTTGTAAGATAAAATGTTGAACAATTTAATCTCATTTCATCTTGTAAAATATAATATTTCCTTGTTTATTTTTACCGTTTAGTTTCCGCAGTAAGCAAATAAAACAACAGACAATACAATGTGTTCGTTTCCCATTATAAACATGCAAAAGTAGTTGCATTTAACCATCATAAAGGTATGGTTGTTTTTTTAAAAGAATTAAGTGTGATTAATAATTATTTGAAATAAAAATGTGTACTTATTATTGATAATTATTTTTAAAAATATATATTATTAACAATTATTAAGTTATTTGAAGAAATTAACTAATATTATAGTCTATGATTTGAAAGCAATTTGTATAATAACTAATAAAACGTTAAAATAATATATATTTAATTGATTATTATTATATAAAATCACTTTACAACGCAAATAAATTTGACACAGATCATCGGTCGAAAAAAAGATATTTTTTTTATTTTGGTACAGATTGTCAATACAAAAAATGATTTTTTTTTTTTTGACGCAAATGGATGATTCTTCTGGATTGCAATTATCAATTTTTAATAAACCAATTACCTAATTCATAATAGATATAATACACTAATACTGCACTGTTAATTGTAGTGGACGAGTGTGAAATTTATATAATATATTATAATATATATACATTATATTGTAGGTACTACTGTCTAGCGTACAGCACATTACGAAAGGTCCCGATTATGAGATGCTTGAACCATGGTTGAACAAAGGGCTACTAACCAGCACGGGTACATACATCATTATTTTAATAACCATATTATTGTTATACGCACATTTTCATTATCATAACATCGTTATAATACTATAATATGTGAAGAAATCTATAAACCGGATTTTCATGAAGAAAATCAAACTCGTTAAAAAAGATTTTTTAATTATTGTTTCTATCAATTATGCCTAATTATCTGAGAACGTATTGACTAAATTATAATTGATATTTAAGATACTTGGTGAAGTTATAATAAATTACATTAATTTTATAATGATCAGTATTTTTTTATTTTTTTATTTTTTTTATTTTTTTTTTTTATTTTTATTATTCTCGTAATTAGTTCTTTGGGGAGGACAAAAAGTCGAAAATTCTTAGTAATTTACAAAGTAATTAAGAAAAAACAAAAAAAAAAACAAAAATTAAAAACAGTTATTTAAACCAAATCAACTTGTATTATTGGTATAACTCAAATTTAAATAACTGTAGATTTAAAATTTTCAAAAAATGTTTATATTATACATTTTTACTCGTAATATAAAATTTATAAAATTTAAACTATTTAAAAAAATTTAAAATGTTTGATATTTTTATTTAATCAAAAAGCTTAACTATTTAATACTTCATTTTTATAATACCTAATAACATCATTCGTTTATTATTTATGAAATCTTATAAGTAACATAAAATGATTTTGATTATAACATTGTAAATAAAAATAATATAATTCTCAAACTAATATAGCTAATTTTATTAACTTTAAGAAAGAAAGTCGGGGTATAGTTATATCTCTGAATAAGTTAGCTTTTTTCTCCCGAGTATTCAGTAATTTTTAAGTTATTTGATTATGCAGTGACAGTCACAATTTAGTCAACATACAATTAATTTATTCAAATTTAAATCATAATAAATATGACGAATTTTTATCATTAATTAATGAAACTATAAAAATATATTTAATTACTTTAAAGTATACTTGAAGAAGAAATTATACAAGTTCAACAACACATATACGCATATCCATATTTAGATTGTATTATTTTTATAATATCTGTTACTTTATTTGTGTACATTATTAAAAAAACGTGCATTCACATTTGTATGTTATACGATAAATTATTATTAAAATCGTTTTATAGATCAAAAATGGCATTCTAGGAGAAAACTGCTAACAAACACTTTTCATTTTAAAATTTTGGAAACTTACATGCCATCACTTAATAAGCACTCCCGTTCGCTGGTCAAAAATCTAATCAACGCGTCAGACAACGGTAAATCCATAGCAGATATCGACTCCCACGTAACTCTCTGTGCTTTGGACATCGTGTGCGGTAAGTCTTTTTTTTATCATAAACATATTTCGATTATATCTCATATTTTGTAATGCCAACAAGACTAAAAATTAAAAATACAAAATTTTGAATGCTACATACAAAAAAAGTTTAAATTTTATAACCCTAAAGCTTAATATCAGAATGATTTTATAATATTATGATACTTTAATTTTTTTCATGTGCAATATATGTGTAGAAACAATTATGGGTGTAAATTTACGTACTCAGGAGGGTAAATCAACAGATTACGTTAAAGCAATCAAAAGGTAAGTATATCACGCATTACATGTAGGTTATGTCACTTTAAGTGTCATTATACGTTAGTTATTAATAATTGTTATTTTTACAGTGTCAGTCACATACTAATCAAGCGTATTTTTACGTTTTGGTATTGGAACGAAATTGTTTTCTATTTTAGTAGCATCGGTAGAGAATTTCGTAAATCACTAAAGTTATTACACGATTTCACCGAAAATGTAACTACCATACATACTTTTTTAATATTATATATATTTTTATCATAACATTCAAAATCGTTTTTTTTTTTTTTTTTTTTTTTTATTTAAATATAATTTTATAATTTAGGTCATAAGAGAGAGAAGAAAAATATTAGAAAACGCAGAACAAAATAAAACTGATGGAAACGGTAAGATTACAATATTATAGGTACCTATATAAATGAATTAACATAAATCATTACAAGTAGGAAAGAAACAGATATATTCATTTTTGGACCTTCTTGTCGGCATTTCCAAAGAAAACCCGGGTACGATGACCGATAAAGACATACGAGAAGAAGTAGATACGTTTCTTTTCGAAGGACACGACACGTCTTCAATAGCTATTACTATGGCTATAATTCATTTGGGGCTCAATCAAAACATGCAAGTGAGTAAAATTGTAATGAAAAAAATATTATCAACGCATTTTATATTTTCTTCATCAACATGTAATATATATTATACTCGAAGGGTAGTCTTGTTTAATTCAAAACTAAATATTTTTATTCAGTTTAAAAAAAAAAAAAAATACTTCCAAGGATTTATATCGCAGTGAGCGATCAAATAAAATCCGTTTGAAATCTATAGTATAATTATTTTTACGCATTTTTTTTATTCATACGCCAAAGGTCGACACCGAAAGCCATATTAAATGCTTGTAATATTTATACCCATGACAGCAGTAATTTTTTTTTTTTTATTTATACGCGGACAAACGACTTATATTTTTTAATTCAATTTTTAATGACAAACAGAATTTGGTCAGAGATGAGCTATACGAAATATTCGGTGACAGTGACCGGGACGCAACAATGGAAGATCTCAAAGCGATGACAAATTTAGAAAGAGTGATAAAAGAGACAATGCGACTTTATCCGAGCGTGACGGGTATCACGAGAACTCTCAAAGAACCGCTTCACCTCGGTATGTGTACAATATTATGTATAATTTAGCTCAAAGAGTATCTCTAAATATATCTTTTAATTACATTCGTTACGAGCTAAATATAATTTAATTGCGTCGAGTTAAATACTGCTCGCGTATGATAAATAATTTTGTAATAATATTATTTTGCAGACAAGTATACTATACCTTCTAAAACAGTGATGGTGGTTATCCCTCATCTATTACATCGCGACGAAAACATTTATCCCAATCCGGAAGAATTCGATCCCGACCGATTTTTACCCGAACAGTGTAGTGGACGTCATCCTTATGCATACATACCGTTCAGCGCCGGGCCAAGAAATTGCATAGGTACTAATTAATGACATTAACGATGAAATTTGGTATTTTGGAGTGTTTTTTTTTCATGATATCATCTATTACATAATATATAGCATTTAGAGTACAAAACTTTATTCAGACGTCAAATCAAGAATTATAAAATTGTAAATTATATTTTACATTATTCCGAATTTTTAATTTGAAGGCATTCTTTAACAGTTGTATCAATAAGTATACGATGACCTTGGTTTTTATTTACATTGGAATATGTTTTTAAATATTATTCCTTGGTAGATTTCAAGACACATTCACTTTTAAAAGTTGCTCAATTACGATTCATTCTTAACTTAACTTTGTATTTTTAATCAAAAATTTTTTAATTTTTAAGTACTATTTTTTATTTATAATGAAACAAAATTAAAAACTTATCATCGTTGAGATTATTTTTTTGGATTTTAATTCATAAAATAAATATAGCTTTTTTTCTTATTCTCGTGACCAGCTATTAAGATGATTGCTAAATATAGCTTTTAAATGTTGGAAATGCCATAATAAATTAATGTATTTCGACTGATCATATATAATATATAAATAAGGTGCATCGTTGATATATTATAACAATTTTGTATTATAAATTAAATTTAAAAGTGTCATATTATTGCATACACCGTTTATACGCAACGTTTTTCAATTATTATAGAATCCATTTCGAATAAATTATTAACTTACATCACTAAATTACAGGTCAAAAGTTTGCCATGTACCAAATGAAAACAGTATTGTCTACGATCTTGAGGTACACCATCGTGGAGACGTTGGGGACGCAAAAGAGTATAATCATCAGTACACAGTTGATAATGAGAGCAGATTACTTGCCGAACGTGAAAATAACACCAATCTCCAACAAGAGTATCGCACGTCATATATTATGATAACTACTAATTATATAACCATAATAATTTAATTTAAATGTAAATATCATGTAAAATGTATACACTATGTGTATATTATGCATATAACACAACATATTTTTAGTTTTCAACTATAATTTAAACAAACTATAAAGCCCCCCCCCCAAAAAAAAAATATATATATATATTATAATATAGGATAATAATAGTCAAGAAAAATATTTTCTTCAATAAGCCAAATAATTACGAGTAGTTATAAAGAACAAAATTACATACGATGAGACTGTTTTAAAATTTGGCTATCGTTTATATAGAAATATGTATTGTCAATTTATTAAAGAATGTAGATAAATTAAAAATATAGTTATAGTTTAAGATATAAATTTTTTTTTTCAAAATAACATTTTGATTTGTTGTTTAAAATATTTATATTTGTATATATAAATACGAATAATAATAATATGATAATGAATGTGTATTTGTATAGGCCATTTACAAATAAACCAATCTATTAGTGAATGTAAGGTGTAAAAGATATTTTCACACAAATTATGTGCAGGCATAGTATATATTACTGAAGTTAAGGTTAATCGTTGCAAAACTAATGATTTTAAATATAGAGTTTTTTTTGAAAATATAAAAGATATTGTAAAGTCGATTAAAAATATTTATTTTTTCCAAACATATTATTTTCTTAAATAATTATATTCTTTTAAAACTGTTTGCTTCAAACTTCATTTTTTTTTTCAATGTATATTATCAACTTATATATATATATATATATATATATATAATTTATATATTATATTATGTGTATAGACTAACTATATTAGTGTTTTACCTTAGATTATCTAATTTTATTTTACAGTGTAATAAAATATTCATTATAATGTGTTATTTTCATTTTCCATTGCTGATCAAAAAACTATTTTTACTTAATTATAATTATATAAGAGAAAAATGATTTGTTTTTTTTTTTAATAAGTTAATACTTATTATTTTTAGTTATAATCATTCTCACCAAGTCCCTTTGATTTATATTCCTTAATTAATTTTATAATATACGTAGATATTAATATAAATTAATATCATCATTGATATGATTGAAATCAACGACTCAAGTATAAAATTGTATTTCAAATATAAAAATATCATAAACTTAATTAAATCCGTAAAATTAATATTTTCAACTACTCGTATTTATTGTTACATTATATTATTTAAAATGCAATTTAATAATTCTGTGGGATTGTATACCCTTGCCTCTTTGTAATAAATTTTTTCAAAATAATTTTTATAGGTATTGAATATTTTATTTTTTATGTTTTCTTATTAATCATAATATTTCGAACTATTACTTTATTTCTAAAATGTATCAAATATAAAACAAATAATTTAAATGCATAATTTAATTATTAATTCATACCAACAAGCCAATTAATTAAACTTTCTTGTTAAAATTATAGCTGTATAAACGTTCCAAATATTAAACACAAAAACTGGTTATCTCTCTCCAAACAAAAATAAAGATCACTCATTTTACATAAAAAAAATCCACAAATCAAGAAATAATTAACATTGCGTGTTAGCATACTTAACAAAAGAACTATACACAGGCATAGATAATAAAAATAAAATAATTGATATATTTATGGATCTTAGCAAAGCTTTTAATAGAATTTTTCATAAGAAACTACTAATTAGTTTTTCTTCAATAAGAATAGTTGACAAATCATTTTCATTATTTAAATTTCAACTTCATGAGTGAAAACAACAAGTAAGTAAAAATTAATAACTACTATAACGAAAAATAATTATCACCCAAGAAACTCCATAAGGAACAGTTTTATTTTAAATATTATACATTTTTATGTCTCAGCAGTCAGCACTGAGTAAACAATGATTAAACTGACAAATAATATCATACACTGATGATACAGCGTTGATAGTTATGGGTAGAAACTAGGATACAATCTTTATTAACACAGAAAATGATTTAAGGACATTAATTACTGGTTCCTAAAACAAATCATAAAATTTAACTTTGATAAAACTAACTAAATTAAATATTAGATTTACAGACGACAAATGAACATTACCAAACATTAAAAACTAGAAAATCTAAAAGAATAAATGCATAAATAACAATTATTGCTTTTGTGCCACAATAAGCCATAAAACTGACATAAAATATTTAAGTAACGTAGTCAAACAACACTTAAAATAGGAAATCTACATTAATAATTTTATTAGTAAATTAAGAAAATTAACCCATTTTTCATGATATCAAGGAAACTAATCAACTCACATTTTCTCTGAGTAATTTACTTGGCCATGGTACAATCAATTCTACAGTATAACATACTAACTACTTAAAGGGGATTTTGTCAAACCCAAATTAATATAATTCTAGTAGCTCAAAAATATATGATAAAGATAATATTAAACAAGTCTAAAATTTTTCCGAAAACAATATTTAAATAAAAATGTAGTATGCTATTTTCACAAATACGATTTAATTAAAATCAAATCATATAAATACAATATCAGAAACAAAAACATATTTCAACACCAGCTACCAAAACATCAAAATGTAGAAATTATTTCATCCTAATAAGACTAAGCCTAATAAATAATATATTACTAAACATATCATTAAGTATGATTATTTATCACATTATAAAATCTTCAATCACATAACAAATTTAAAAAACATGTCAAACCATAGTTAATAGAAACAGAAATAAACACACTATAAACTAGTTCCATAAATTATTCTTCTTATTCTCAACACACTATTTTATTCTTTATCAATTTATATATACATATATATATATCAAATATCATACACTTCTGTTTAATTATTAGGTGTTATTTTTTTTCTCTCTCTTGAAAAAAATTAATATTTAAAAATCTAAATTTCAAGACCACTATTTTTTTTAATTAAAACATATTACAAAAAAAAAAAAAAAAATGTTTACTTTCTTGAGTTAAATAAATTATTATTATTATTATTAATAATAATAATAACATTAAATAATTAAATACTAACACATCCTAATAAATATTAAATTTATAAAAATCAAAAATATACTAATAATAATTTACAGTTGATTTATTAATATAATAAAATTATATTTATAGATTCATCTGATACAAAATGAATAGCTATGATAACATTATTACAAATATTTTTATTTATGATATTTTAATGGATGCAAATTTATTTACACAACTACAGATTTCTTATATTTTTATATTTTTTCGTGCTCATTAGTCATTAACTCATCGCATATTATATTTGATTTATTTTTACATTTTTAAGGAAGTAAACATAATAATATTGTAGTTAGTATGCATGGCACAAATTACGTTTATTTGAAGAAATAGAATGATAAAAGCTTAAAAGAACTTTGTATCTTTATTAACACAAATAAAGTACAAATAATACACTAATCAAAATTAATCTCATGAACCTGACTTTTTTCAAAAATGTATTTTCATCTAATAAAAATAACTTAAAAAATCGTCATACACATTTTAGAGTTAGTAATTGTTCAGACATACTGTCTTATTACCAACGTTTTTAGGAATGAAATAGTTTTTTTGATTTTAAAAACTTATAAAACTAAGATTGGCCACAAAGATTTTTAAATAACGTTATAATAAGTAATACTGCAGTGTACATGATATATACTATTACCTATTATACAATATAATAATAATAATAATAATATGTTAAAATTATTATAAAAACGTACATAGCTAAGATATTGTTATTATTAATAACTAATTATTACATTACTTAAAATCTAATAATTAAACACGTCTTGTTAATTTTTTATCATTACATAGTACTCAATATAACTCGATGTAATTTTATTTCCTGAACAAAGTGAAATATGTAAATTATATATGTATATATATATATATATATATATATATATACATATAATGATAATTATTATTAAATTCTACCATAAAATATTTTACGTACTGTAGATATGTTAATAATTTTTTTTACTATAAAAATACATACAGGTTTTTCAAAAAGTATTTTTTATTTCTGTTTTTTTCCTTATTACATATCAAGTACAATCAATACAGGTTTTAAAGTACATAAAGTACATTTGCATAACTGCTTTTTTTTCTTTTTTTTTTTTATATATAATGTAGACAATTTTGAGTAAAATGAGTTAAAAATAAAAAAGTAAAACAAAATGGAACTAATAATTTTGAAATATTTTGGTTCATTTTTTAAAATATTAAGTATATAACTCGATAACTTATACTTAAATATTTATTTTTTACAATTTTCAACGTTTTTGAATCGCAAAAATTATCATTAAAAAATGTGTTTCGTGAATTTTATATTGTGACGGTAATATATCTCCAAGTAACATAATTCAATAACTGATAAAAATAAAGATTTTTATTTCTATCCATATGTATATAACGTTTCAGTAAGCTTAAATTTGTATTTATTGATGTATGATATTTGCGACTGAAACTGATAATTTTTTATAACATTGAATATTAATGCACAGTGATTGTAATATTTTCTAATTCCATAGCCCTATGGTATACATATAATACATGTTATGATACACAATATAATTTTCTATACGTACTTATTACTTAAATATATTTTCTAGATATATCTGAATAGATAGTGAATTTAGCCGACGTATCATTGAAATAATTATGTGATACATTTATTTTTTTGTTTCCCACTTCCCCCGATCTTTTTCTTAGAAAGTTCTATATTTTGCTGTGCTCGCACAAAAATGTTAAAACTTTGATTTCTAAGTTCATTTTAAAAATATTTCATAAACAATAGCCTTATGCTTATTTATAACTACAATTATAATTTCTATATTATAAAATAATTTCCCTTTAACGATGAATAACTTTAGATTTGACATTATAATGAAACTTATCATATATCATAATTTTATTCGGATGGCTTTTGATCCCAAAATAATTTCTTTGCCATTCATATAATTTCATTATTAAATATTTTTATCAATTTAATCTTTTTTTTTTTTTGATAACCATGCTATTAATCGTATTTATATTCT